GGTTATTCAGTTGATAAACACTCAAACTCTTAGCAGTTTTAGCTTCCAAATTAGGACATCACAAATGACATGCTTGCCTTACAATGGGTATTTTTTCTACACTTTTAATGATCTTTTGAAGCGGCCTGTTCAAATACATCAAGCTTCTAGCTTTGGTTGGTAACCAGAGATACCCAGAAAAAAAATTTCCTTCCTTTCTTTTATTAACAAAGTTAGAGCTTAACCAGTGACAATTTTGGTTGTGTTTTTCACCGTTTTAAATGATGAAGTTCAATTTTCAGAGAAGCTGAAGTGAGTTATATACCACTGTCATGGATGTGAGTTGCTCATCTGCCTGCGTGCAGCTGAAATTGACTAATTTGGTGATCTCTGAATGTCTGATTTAATACAAATTATGTATGTGTGACTAATCCTGTACTATACTAGTAGCAATATAATCAATAACTAGTAGTAATATCTTTCAATGTCACATGACAGGTAAATTCAAATTGCTTAGTTTTCAACTGTAACCATTTTGCCTTGAAAAGGTCTTAAGTTCAAGATTTCAGTGAAGGTTACAGTTCTTATACAAAGCAGATGTAGCCTGCAAATGGAGATTTAAGAGAGCAGAATATTTCAAGAGATCCAGACTTGTAATATTCACATTGCACAGAATTTCTAATTGTTTCTAATTGGCAAATGAGATAATCCTTCCAGTCATGATTAAATAATTTTTTTTCCCAGGTTAATAAATTGTCATGAACATCTGTGAATTTGAGTTAATTTCTTGTTGCCTTTATGCTCACAGATCTTTTAACCTATTTGCTTTGTATTAAGTGATCTCATTGCTTTCAGCTGAGGTAAATGCTTCTTCACCCTTTTTGAAATTTTATCAGAAAGTGAAAGTTATGCAGGTGGCTCTGTGACCTTTAGAGGGCAGCATTTAAGCACATTTTAGCAACTGTGGAACGCAGGGTGGCTTTATTAGCTGATACAGTATGTAGTTTAATTTGAACCATATCTTCCTATGTCATTAAAATAACTTTTCATACATAGACTTGTGTTGAAATGATTTTGCATTTAACTGCCTATTTTGGCTTCATGAGAACTGTATGTGGTCAGTAGATATATCTAAATGTTTTGCTTGTCAGCAGTGATGAGTCCATTTGTTTTTCTAATGACTCAAATGAGAGCAGTGAGAGAATATATAAACTCCACATTGTTTTAGATCATTACTTGAATGGACAAACTTTTTTCTAGTCTAACAGCAAATTTTCCATAGTATGTTTGAATCAGTATCACTTACTTTACAAAATCAGACGTTGTCATCAGGGTTGCTCTTTATGTTAGATTCCATGTCTCTGATCTGTTCACACCTGCTAGAATATATCTGAAGTGTTCCTGATTAGGATGCAATACTCGTTTCCTGGAAAGAACATTTAAACCTTCTTTGAAATGTGTGAAATTTGTGCCTAACCCAAAGCATTGCAAATATGGCAACGCTGACTTAAAGCAGAATCACATGGGGGAGAGACTTACAGAACAGTTTGCAGAAGTTCTTGTGAAAAATAATAAAAAAAAGAGCAATTAAATGTAGCTTCAGTGCAATGTACAGTAATAAATGTTGGGGTTTTTCTTTCTGTGATGACTAATACCTGCCGGGTATTGCAGTTTTGCAATATGTTTCACTGGCTTTTTGACTGTATGGCACAGTTTGTGATTGAGGTTAACCCGACAACCTTCAACCTGAGATGGAAAGAAACAAATTGGTTTTTCTTCCTCAAGCCTTCAGTGGCTGAGTCTTATTTTGGAAAGGTGTTTAAAAGCTGCAGTTTAGTATCTGTCAGTTTAGTATCAGTTTAGTATCAGTTCTTCTACCTCATATTTTCAGGTAGGTTGTATTGCTGACTACAACCTGATACCCAAACTACCTATTTGGTGGAAACAATCTGGGCTTTGGGATTTGTCATCATCTTCACTATGAGAATGGTGCTTCAACCCCTAACAATTACAAATAGAAACCGCCACAGGCAATAAAATCTGTGGCACTTACATCTGTTACTGCTTTGACCAGGATGGAAGATAAAACCTACAAATGATTGATGTGAAGTAATTAACCCTTAGGTGGAAAACAGTGGCTAAGGAAAGCTCATTTTTAAGAGTATTTATTCCTATAAGTATGTTATGTGGAAATGAAACAAAACCAGAGTTCTTAACTCTTATCTCAGGCAAATTTAAAATCTATTATTAGTCTGTTAAGTGAAGAGTTAACAGCCTCTAATGATCAGATAGTGGAGTTAAGTTCTCAATTCCTGGCCTCTGGCTTCTGTTTCCTCTGGAAAACTGGAGACTGCTTGTAAAATAAAGCATAGAAAGATACTTTTTCTGGATATCACATCTGGAGAACATACAAATCCTTGGAGATTTTATCACTCAGTGAACTGTTAAGTCACCTTGTGTAGTGCACAGCTAAACAAAGTGGCTTGCTGTTTAGCTAAGTAAACTGCTGTATGCAGTCTGTATTGATGTTTTATGTGGTTGTTGTTTAAAGTTCACCTGTCTCCCCCCTTGTAATCATTCATGGTCTTTGGTGATAATTAAATATTCTGTTAGTAAAAGGTGCCTATCTAGCAACAGCATGTGTATGCAAATTGGTCCTAACTAAGCATCTGTTTTTGATGCTGACTTTTAAGAGGAAAAGGGAAGGTGCCCATCTCAGATCTGACCTAATAGAGAGACATGCTACAAAAGCTCGGAATGAGAACATAGAAAACAGTTCTCTTGGTACCCCTAAAGAAAGGATTCTCTTCCTTCTGTCCCATACCCCACTCCTCCACCCCAATTACTCTTTTTTCTGGTTGTATGTATACCACTAGTGTATAGTCTTTTGCTATATATTTGGGTAATAAACCAGCCAAAATTAAAAGAGCCACTTCCTCCTTGTTTAAATGCCATATTCATTGACTCCTCATGTATATTTTGCTGGATATGGAAATGCTATGGTTATGAGGAGAGGTGGTGGGTTTTTTGTCCTAGCAATCCTGTATTCTCAGTGAATATTCTCAGTGGTCTAGTTCAGGGAGAAAGACTTAATTCAGGCATGGATCTATAACTAATCTCACTTGTGCCCAGTAAAGGATCATACAGATCAGAGAGAGAAACAGACTGGCAGGGAGGGAAAGGTGCTTAGCACCTGTGAAGCTACAGAACTAATATGTCATTGTTAGTACTTCAACTTACAGCTGCAACCTAGCAGCTTTCACTGAATGAAATAAATTTTTGGAAGGAGCACTTAACTTTTCTTCTCTCTTTTGTTTGTTCAGGATTGATATTGCCCAATGGAGATATCAATTGGAATTGCCCGTGTCTGGGTGGAATGGCTAGCGGTCCCTGTGGGGAACAGTTCAAGTCAGCCTTTTCTTGTTTCCACTATAGCACAGAAGAAATAAAGGGATCAGACTGTGTGGACCAATTCCGTGCCATTCAGGAATGCATGCAAAAATACCCAGATCTTTACCCTCAAGAGGATGAAAATGAAGAAAAAGAGAAGTCAAGCAAAGATTTGGAAGCTACTTCTATGGAGGCTTCTGTTGCCAAAGGGGAGAAGGGATCTAGCTAATGAAGATGCGGGGAGGCTGTTGTCTCCGTTTCTCATGTTCAGAGACATGGACTTTTGCAGTCTGTCCGTCTTTTCAGTTGCCAAGAAATGTTTCACCATTGTTCTATACACTGTATAATAGTGAATAATTTATTGCTGAAGGAGAAATTTGCTACAACCTTGCAAATAAATACTGCAAAGAGAACAAGCATCTGTATGTACTGTGTAACCTACTGTCAAACAGTTAATACTTTAACAGCTGTTTTTTACCCTCAAGTTTGCCTTGAGTTTTGACTTGAATAATGTCTTCAAATCTAGATAGCTTTCAACTAAAATTCCACTAGCACACCAGGTCTGTCTTCATTTCAGTATGTTCTGATCAATAGCTGCTCTTTTTTAATGTATTCTGTTCTGTTCATAGAAATTGCATTAAATGATTGTTTTTCCTTAAAGATTTTTTTGACAGAGTGATACAGGACATTGAAAATGGCCTAAGTCTAGAATTTGTTAAATAATTTCAAATGGTCTTATTAGATTATGGTTGCATTTTACTACCAGAATCAGGTAAGGACCACCACAAAAATGTTGAAATGTCTATCTCCTTTGATTTCATTTACTTACTGTGATGGCTTTTGCATTTTTAAAAATGGTGTGTTGTACAACCATTGATAAAGACGAATGGAAAGAATGTTGGTCACTGGCTTTTATTTCTGCTCTGAAACTATTGTTTTTTGGGTTCTTTTAGTTAGTGCCTGCTCCTGCAGTGTATTGACAGGCTCTTGTAAAATACTTTGAGAATACAATGAAAATGTTGCCTGGTGTAATGATCTCAAAACAAATACTGTGACTTAAGTGCATATTAAAAAGCAAATGTTTTTACCGTCATTGAAAGCTCCTGTTTCTCTCTGGTGGTGGGTTTTTTGGGGTTTTTTTTGTTAACACTGCTAGGATTTGAGTTGTAAGCAGACTTTGAATCAATTTGTGGGTTGTGAAGTTAAGTTGCTCCAGCTTGTCAGATTTTTATTCTTATTCTGGGGCAGGAAGGCATAAAAAAATGTAAAGTGTTTTCAGTAGCTATAGTAGACTGTGGGTCATGAACCAGCACTGCAGAGGATCTGAACAGCTATTAAAATACTCAAAAATTACTTTAGAGGTGCAAATCATTTAATAATAGTTCACTATAGTTGAATACCTGTGGATAAGGGAATGCTACATTGTTTTTCTTTCCTAGCAAAACACAGGCTGTGAGAATTACAAAACAAATTGTATCTGTGGCTTCCGTAACTGTTCTTTGCAGGGTTGATGTTTTGTTTTGGTTGTTTTTTTTTTTTCTCTCCTTGTGTTGGTTAACTTAACTAAAGCATAAAAAGTTGTAGTGGCAATAGTACAGCCCAGTAAGTCTAGTAATGATTAAACACTTAACTGTCTCTGTGACCAGCAGTCTTGAGAGCTCAGCAGCATTGCTTCCATAAAATGTTTTGGTGTCTTGTTTGTGTAACTTATTTCAGTGTTAGCAATGTTGCTTCTGAACGTTTGAGGGGAATTTCTGTTAAATCTTATGGTGTGGTAGAGCTGTTTATATTTTAGTACAGGTGTGGATCCTCAAAAAAAAAAAGTTGTAGGCAATTAAGTGGCTGACAACAACTCAGTTCTGAGGGCATGGATAGCAGGTACTCTCAGTATCTCTTTGCTTTTAAAAGAAACAAAGTGTGATAGAGCTTCTCAGTGTGACTTGTTCAGGCATAGGAAGACAAATGCCAAGTTAACCTGAGTAAATGGACACAAAAGCCGCAGTGATAAACCTTGGCACTTAGGCAGTTGGACCATGAAAACAAAATCGTACACAATCAGATAAACACTGGGCACCAAATAAAGAAAAAAAATCACGTGCACCCAAGCTTTTGGTTGTTCAAATGGAAATCCAATGCGTTATTTGTGAAAAAGCGAGAGCTGTTTGTGAAGGGGTGCTCTGTTCTAAGAAGGGTTCGCCTCCTGCTTTTTTTCTGCTGTGCTTTTCTTTCCCACGTTGCCTTGATGCTCTACAGGTTTTGGATTTATCCTCTGGTAACAGTATATATAGCATCTGTGTATAAAACGTAAAATGCAAGAATCCTGGTCTTACAGTAGCTAGGGACTTGAACCTAATACTGACAGAGGAGACTTGCAGCATATAATCTAACGTATTTGAAGGTGCGTTTAAGATGAATGAGTTGCTTCTTTCTGACTCTGCTGTGGCTTGGTAACCTGTTGTGCTAGATCCAGTAAAATATGGAATATGTGTAAGGACTTTACATCAGAACCTGTGAAAACCACTATGTAATGTGTTTGAGGTGTTTTGAGAAAGGAAGTAATAGCTCTAATCCTAAAGAGGTTGTTGTGGAAATTATAACTTTCTTTTCCTCCTATGCTTGTGAAATTAGAAGCTGGTGTAACTGTCATCACTTCACTGCATTTGCATTCTGGATGATACCTTCAAAGTGGAAGTGATGTAACTTGGACTAAAAAAAAAATCCAGTCTCTCATTCTCTTAACCTGCTCTTCCTTCCCCCACCCCAAACACACCTCCTGCTTCTGCTCCTGCTGTGAGTGGTAATCCCTGGCAGTATGTGGGAAGCTTGTGAAATAAGCAGATGATAAGAAGTTGCATTTTTATTGTCTGGATATAAAACTTATAGCTGCATTTTGCTGTCTTGTTCTAATGTGTTTATTTTCTGCATAAATAATATCTTGGTTCTCTGTCTGCCATCAGTGAGCTACTGATTTTTGGGGGTGATCGAGTGTTTTTGATAAACTGCTTGAGGGTAGTAATTCTGTAATGATTTTATGCATGGCATATCAGGTGTTTTTGTAAGCCAAGTCAAAAGTATTCCTGGGTGCAGAGAAAGAAAGCTTTCATTATGAAATAATTGCTCTTTATTTAATTCTATGCCTTTTAGTTGATCTCTGTCCTATAGAAACTGGTGTGCTGGGTATGATTAAATGTTTATTAAAGCTCAACTAAAAGGAACTGTTAACAAGGCATGAAGCACTTCTAGATGTAATATAACATTTTTTAATACAAATTACTTAGCCCGAACAGTTATATGCAGATATAATCCCAGTTGGATTTTATCCATTTAGCTTTTAGAATAAAAAGAGGTTTTAATTGTATTCATCTTACAGAGGGTTACCATTGTTCCTAAAATACTGCCTTGTACAGTGTTACTATGAAATCCTTCAGTTTTTGAGTTTTAATCATTCTTCAGTTGTTACACACCCTTGTAATTTGGGAGTTAACACAGGGGTGAAACAAGCCATAGTTTTGAGGGTGGGGTAGGACTGTTATCAATGGGCTGGAACCCCTGCATGATGCAGGCCACAAATTCATGTATAAATTGTGATAACTTGCTGGTTAGGGTGGGATTGTTCCTGCAATCAGCTTAAGCGTGAATCAGTGGAGCATGTATCACATTTCCTGATGAGGATAAAGATTGCCTATAAAACTTGTCTCATAGGTGAATGTTTCAACATAAAATATATTCTGAAATATAATTAACTATTGGAAAGTGGTTAAAATTAGGTAAAATTGCATTTTCAGGATGTGCTTGAAAGTTACTCATTTTTTTCCTATTTTCTCTGCAGTACAGCCTGACTACATTTCAAAGGCTTAGCTTTAACTTGTGTCCAGTAACTTTCCTAGAGACATCACCTTGCTTCAGGTCCAAAAATGACCTTTATTTTTTTTTCTTTCTTCCCAGCAACAGGAATGATGTACGCAAGGGTGTCTAGAGAGAGATGTTTTATCTTGCAGTTTTTTCTAAGGATCATTAGATCTGGGGATCTAGCAGGGCTGTGTTGGAAACAAGATCTATATCCTATGCGGTTCTTATTGAGAATGTCCTTGTTAAACCTTGCAGCAATGTCTCCTGTTCATCTAAGGCACTTATCTGATCACACGTCAATGAATCTCTTTGAGGAAAGTTGTTACTTAAACAGGTAGAACCTACTTTCTTATTCCTAGGGAAGAAAAAAAGGATATTATATGCTTCTTAGACTCTTGTTTTACTTCTCATTAAAATTCTAGCAGTGTTAGTGTGGAACAGTGTAGAGAAGCTACCAGCAGTTTGTCATTTATTCTTAATCAGCTCTATTCATTGGACATGACTTCATTTTGTTGAACAGCACCAGCCTGTCTGCAGCTGTTTTTCAATTGCTTTTAACCCCTTTGGAGCTGATGTTTTGTGACTGATACTGAGAACTCGAGAGAAGACCCAACCTATAGAGGAAGAGTAGAGAAGTGCACTAACAATTACAGCACCAATGCTATAGTTCTTTCCCACTAATGCAAGATAGTACCTAATACAGTTGGTGGATCAGTATGAAGTTATTTCAAATATCAAAATAGGCAATTTGGTGCTGCATTCATAGCTAGAGCATGAGGTTCTCAAGGCCTGAAACAGTCAGATGTTAGGCTCTTTTTTTTTGTGTGTGTGTGTGTTGTTCACTGTAGGATAGTTCTGACTGCATAGGGCAAGATGGCCAGAATTCTAGTTTGTGACTTACAGATCTGTAGCTGAGCATGGAAGAAGCAGCAGCTTATCTTTCTCTCAAATACTGATGTATCTTGAGACTATGAAGACCAAGAAATAGGTCAAAGACTGCTAAAATACGGAAATATTAGTTAATGGAATATGTAACTGTTTCTTCTTAGATATTCTGAGCAGTTCACACTGCTGCTATTAACATGTTAATACTATTAGTAAAACCTTGCAGTGGATTTTTCACCCATCACTGCCAGAAGCACAGGGGACTGGAGCACTCTGTTCAAGCTGGAACAGCCTTTCCATGCATTCACAGCCACTGAAAGTAGCCCTGTGCAACACCCTGAAATGCTTGGAATATCACTTAATTTTCTGCCATTTCCTAGTTTAATTGAAATTATTAAATATTTCATCCTGCTTTCATCCTCCACATCCTGTGGAGTGTACAATGTTTGCTGCTTGATGTACAAAAAAAGCTTTTTGTAATTGAAGGATAATAAA